AAGCGTACGCCGTATCAATATTACTATTCCTCTACCTTTACACTTACCTCTGGCAATCGGATTACGATCAACCCTAAAAACATCTCATCACATAATTCGACGTCGACTTCTTCTCGAATCTTTAATATTTTAAATAAATAGATTGACTTGGGCCATCGCATGAAAACACAATGCATCTCACAAGTAATACATATTATATTAAATTCGATTGCTTATTCATTGTGTGCAGAATGCACATTACTACTATTTTTACATTACACGTATTACAACTATTACGCTTTATATGAGAAATATAAAAGAATATGTATCAATAGAGAGACAACTTCGTAGTGATTGATTGCGACAAAAAATGTTTACAATTAACAAAACACAAAGTGTTGGGATAAAAAAAACTGAAGATAAAGTAAGTTAATACAATTAGCAATATTACAAAATTGTACACAATTATCGTAATATCCTTTTCTTGCGTTATTTGAAGGACCGGTGAGGTGTCGTTTTTCCTTCCGAAAATCCTTCCATTTTTTTGTCCAGACGTGCTGAAAGTCCTTATGTTTTGCAGCCTTTCTATATTTCTTCAGAAGTGGTTTATTAAAAGAAATAAGGTGTTCATTCACGTAAACCCTGCTGGTATTACCAAGTATACCAATATCTAAATTTGTTATATGGGCTTTCCGACTTTCAGAGATAATATTGTCCTTCAGCAGACGGTATTTCATTTTACCTACGATATTTCTGGGGCGTCCATGAAATTTATTCATAGGAGTGACACGGTTGACCTCAAGAATGTCCTCGAGGACGATGGATACACGGCTAGCCGAAGATCTCTAAATTTAAAAGACGTTCCCTCTGATTATTAGAGTTCAGTTCCATTTTCAGGAGCTTATCCTCATTCTAACGTTAAGTTGGAGAGGTCTCGTCTAATGAAGTCAAAGTGCTCTAATCCAGAATCCAGAAACCTTTCAGCTCGAGTTACGTAAACGCGTTCAGTGCCTAGAAGATTGCAATGCAGTGGACGATATGAATGACAAGCTCGTGGAAACTGTCCATGCGGTCGGAGCTAAGTTCTGCAAGAACCACCGCAGAAGAACACAAAAACTCTCCGATCACACTCTTAATCTCATGGCTGTTAGACGGGAGATGAGGCTGCAATCGTCAACAGATTTGACAGCATACAGGCAACTGAACAGACAGATCTCCAAATTCATGCAGCGAGACTTACGCAACTATAATACTGCTCGTATTAAAGAAGCGATCGAGCGGAACCAGGGCTCCAGAGTCTTTGCCAGAGATCTGTCTGCCAGAAAGAAACCAACTGTCAAAGCTGAAGACTGATTGTGGCAGCATCGTTTCCCGGACACCTGAGATTTTGAGTGAGATTGAGAGGTTCTATGGGCAGCTGTACACATCATCATTTGAGCCATACGCAAGTCTGAGTAACGATCCAAGAGAAAGTCTTATCCGACACTATTCCGATGATATCCCGAACGTCAGTCTGAGCGAGATTAGAATGGCTCTCCAGCACCTTAAAAACGGCAGGGCCCCAGGCGAGGATGGAATTACAGCGGAGCTTCTGAAAGCGAGTGGAACAACGGTACTTATACTCTATTCCAATTACGAAGTCCCATTTGACAGATGTAAATAATCAAGTACTAGTAAAGTACCGCTATAGTCGATACTTGACGATATTGATCTTCGATTACTATAACGAACAAATTAAAATCGTATTAACAGAAAAAGGATTAGCATCAAATTAAAATTCATAAAACTGTTTTTTTTAATTTTAAGTAGATAAGAATACATGATATTTTTATCAAGATGGAACATATTCATCATCACTAGCCGAAATCGATATTTCATGGTCGGCATCGTCGTCATCACCCCCATCATCGTCTGTAAAATCCCCTGTATTTATAATAATTTGGTTTTCTATGACGGCATCGATATGTATGTCTATGTCCCAATCAGCGAAAATCAAATTTTTTGTTCGTAAAACCACACTTTCCCAATTTGCGGCAGTAACACTATCACAAGCTTCTTGCAACAATGACAGCATTTTGTTTGCATTTTTAAACGGTGGGCTGGTATTTTAACGAGCCGCATAACCTAAAATAAAGGTTTGCGTGATAATATAGCAACAGATAAAATGTTAAAATAAGTAAAAATAAATTATAAAAAGGATTTGTTTAAATTGTTGCCTTTAATTTGCGCCCAAATCAATTCTATGGCATTGTATTGACAATGGTAGAGTGGAAGGCGCATTACATTGTGTCCGGCTTCCTTAGCCATTTTGTCAAATACGATTTTGGTCTAGCTGGCTTATTTATAGTAACCAAATGCAGCAGCTCAACTTTTAACACGGACATGTCAGCAACAATATTATTGTCATTCAGCCATTTGACAATATCGGCTTTTTGTTGCTAGAAGTTTTATTATTATCATTATTTTATTATTTATACATAAACACACTAGCAGCTAAAAAAGCTGATGCGTGTGCGTCTTAGTGTTTGGAGATTTTATCCAATCTGTTCTTGAAGGCATTCAATGTAGGAGCATCAATCACATTTTTTGGTAGCTTATTCCACTTGGTGACAACACGATTTGTTATAAAATTCTTCATAGGATTCTTGTTGCTACTTAGTAAGTACAAATTTGGCAGAGTAGGAACATTGTAATAACCTGTCAGTATTTTGTATGTTTCAATCAGACTACCTCTCTGCCTACGGCTCTCTAGTGTTAAGAGGTTAAGCTTTCTCATTTGCTGCTCATATGTCATGTTCCGCAGTTGTTTTACCATTTTTGTGGCCCTCTTTTGAACATTTTCCAGTATTAATATATCTTTACGAAAATACGGGTCTTATATCACATATGCAAACTCCAAAAGAGGTCTTAAGTACGTTCGGTAGATCTTGTTAAATATTTTAGGAGTGAGACATATAAAGCTTCTTCGAATCATATACATCATGGATTTTGCCTTTTGAGACAAACAAAATGGCGGTCGTGATCACGAGGTGGACGCAGTGTTGACAGATTTTCGCTCGCAAAAAGAATCTGTCTATAATCGATTTTATACGATTCTTTTAGTCACGTCACTATGTAAAAAAAGTAAAAATAAAACCATAGAACGTAAACACAAAACGGCAGTAAAATATTATTATCTTTTAAAGTTTCAATTATTTTGAGCACGATGTCTAAAAACAATATGTTGAATATGTGTGTGAATTAATTGTATAATGATTTAGATTGGTTGTGTATTTTTAAATGATGATTTACGACCATGAACAAAAATGATTATTATTTCAAATTATGCGAAACGTGAAGAGTTACGTTCTAAGAAGGGTCAAAAGGGACTTCGTAATTGGAGTAGAGTATAAAGTCTCTTCAATTCCGTCCTCGATAGTGGCACTACTCCGGAGGTGTGGAGCAGAAGTGCGGTGGTATTGTTCTATAAAAAAGGCGACAACACTCTCTTGAAGAACTACAGACCGGATTTCCTTCTGAGCCACGTCTGTTTTTGAGAGTCATTACGAATCGTCTCGCACGCAGACTTGACGACTTCCAGCCTCCCGAACAAGCCGGTTTACGAAAAGGCTTCAGTACCATAGACTACATACATACCCTGCGGCAGATTGTACAGGAGACCGAAGAGTACAATCTGCCACTTTGCCTGGCGTATGTGGATTATGAGAAAGCCTTTGATTCCGTCGAAATTTGGGTGGTGCTACAGTCCCTTCAGCGGTGCCAAGTTGACTGTCAGTATATACAGTAGGGCTACGATGGCTATCCGAGTACAGAACCAGAGTTCGAAACCTATCCAACTGCAGAGAGGTATAAGACAGGGTGACGTTATATCACCGAAACTCTTCACCGCTGCATTGGAGGACGTTTTCAAGCTACTGGACTGAAAACGATACGGTATTAACATCAATGTCGAGTACATCACTCCCCTTCGATTTGACGATGATAAAGTCCTTATGGCAGAATCGCTGGATGACCTAAATACTTTACTCAACGACCTCAATGGTGTCCCCCAACGAGGTCTTGGATTGAAGATGAACATGGACAAAACAAAGATCATGTTTAATGTCCATGTCACACCTATACCGGTAGTTGTTGGGAGCACGATGCTGGAAGTTGTTGACGAGTACGTTTACCTGGGACAAATAGTCCAACTAGATAAGTACAACTTCGACCGAGAGGTCAATCGACGGATTAAACTCGGCTGGGCAGCATTCGGGACATTACGACACATCTTCTCGTCAGGTATACCTCAAACTCTTAAAACTAGATTGTACAACCAGTGCGTGTTGCCACTTACTGACTAGTCGTGGTCCTTCACTGCTGGCCGTATGAGGACGCTCAAAGTCGCTCAGCGAGCTATGGAGAGGGCTAAGCTCGGAATTTCTCTGCGTGATAGACTCAGAAATGGGCATATCCGCAGTAAAACCAGAGTGACCGACATAGCCCAACGGATTAATAAGCTGGAGTGGCAATGGGCCGGCCATATAACTCGAAGAACCAATAACCGATGGGGAAGAAAGGTTCTCGAGTGGCAGCCTCGTACCGATAGGCTTAGTGTAGAGCGACCCCCCACTAGATGGAGTGACAACCTGGTAAGACGTGCAGGAAGTCGATTGATGCAGGTGGCTCAGGGTCGTGCTTTGTGGCATTACTCGGGGGAGGCCTATGTTCAGCAGTGGACTTGTGAAAGGCTGTAATGATGATAATGATGAATGATGATTCTCGTTCTCCAATAATTCGAATTTGGATTCAATTTTAGTTTTATCATTCACTATTAGTACCACTTTTTATTGAGGTCATCATATTGGTCACTGTGCCGAATTTTCTAAAGTTACAACCTTTTTAATTGTTTCTTCATATTTCAAGTCAAGAGACTGAAGAGACTTTTTAATCTCCTGTTATTCTTGACGGACATTGCTTATTTCCGATTTTATTTCGGAGACAGTTGTGTGCTTTTCAAGGTCAGACTTCAATACTGATTCCTAATCTATTTTTACTTGCGAGATATTGTCATGAATTTCAGCTTTCCAAATATTGAAGGTATTTTTAATTTCTGATGTGAGCTCTTTTAGAGCGTCTGTAAAGTCATCATCATGTTTACGCTTCCGAATAGTTATATTCACATTGCTTGGTTCAGCTAAGTTGCTGATGTCTGGGCTGGATCTGTACTGCTTGTTAGGTGAACGACTCATTTTAAGACCTTCAAGATATTCCACAACTTGTTTATTCTTTGATATACGTAACATTTTACACACTTTGAAACACTATACTGACGTATAGAAGACCTGACAGCCCGAAAACGTGTGACGAATTTTGATTTGTCATTGCATGCGTTAGCTAGTGATGTACATTTTTCTCACAAAGACTATCGAAAAATTATTATTCAGAAAACGGTAAAAAGATTAAAAAATTAGTTCAGTGTACGAAACTAAATAACTTCTAAAATTAACTCAATTGTAACGTTATAGTTCTAAAATAATTTAAGAAAATTCAAATAATATATTCCCAGGAATAAGCTGCACCTACTTACCTTTTGTTGGATTTTAATTTCAAAAATCTACCGACAAACTTAAACAATTTTCTCCGAGAATCAGATTGGTAAGTTGTATTTTCGAGCAGAACAGTTCCCCCGCAATTTCTATTTTAACATAACGTTAATCAAATATAAATATGTAGATACTTATTGAAGTATACACCTATTTATGTTTTATAAAATATTTTGCTTGTGAAATAAAAAAAAAACGGGACACGGAGTACATAATGGCTGCTATATTTTTTTATGTAAGTATTACTTTTAATAATCACAAACATTTAATAATTAATAATTTAACTCATTTTAGAAGTTTATTTAAACATTCGGCTTAAATATAAAAGTAAAATTTATAATTTAAGTAAGGAAACACACACACTCAATAATTTCTCGGTCAAATTATAAATCTAAAGCAAATTAGTGTTGAAAATATAATTAGCGTTAGTGAAATAAAATCGCATATCCATAGTACGCGAAATTTTTATTTTCCCCACTGTTACTTGTTTACATCAAACCTAAGACGAAACTAATGTCAAAACAATAATAAAAACGTAAAACGCTCCTCAATAATTGTTATAATTATAACATAATTTTAAGCTTCAAATTATTCGCTAAATATTTTAGTACTACTTTCGTTAAACCAGAATTGAAATTATTTCCTATAACTGATTATATATATATTAACGGTATTAGCTCAACACACATCTCATATAAATGTATCTTGAGCAATTATAAGTCCTCGACATCTCTAAATCTGGTGACCCCAACCATATACCACCAATATTTATCAGAAATTGTGCGAAAAGCTTAGTCAAACCCATTAGTATACTTTTTAAGCGGTTGTTAACAGAAGGAATAGTTCCACTTATTTGGGAATGTGCCTTCATAACACCGGTATTTAAAAAATGCGTTAAGTCGAATGTCGGAAATTATCGTCTCATCTCGAAGCTATGCCTGTTTTCTAAAGTTCATGAAAGAATTGTTTATATTGAAGTCGATTATGCAGTACAAAACTGTTTGGTTGACGAACAACATGGGTTTTTTCGTAAAGCGTTCAACTACTTCTAATCTCATTTCAGCTAATGAATTCATCACTAAAGGCAGACGTAACACAGGTGGACGTATTTTACACAGATTCCATCAAGTGTTTTGGTCGTATTAATCATCGTGTTCTTTTACAAAAGGTGTTAGCTACGGGAATACACAGTGTCTTGTATAGATGGTTTTGTTCGTATATAGAGAATCGGGCACAGGCTGTGGTTTTGTCGTGGTTACATGTCTGGTTGGTGCTCAATTCCATCTGGTGTTCTTCAGGGTTTATTACTTGACCCCTTCTTATTCGCAATATTTATTGCCGATATTAAGTCGAGTTTCAAAAATTCTTTCATACTACCTTACGCCGATCATGAAAATTATTAAACTATTCATAATCTAACAGAAGTTAAACGACTTCAAGAAGACCTAAACAGGTTTTCTGATTACTGTAAAATCAATAAGCTTCAATTGAACATCACCAAATGTTCTTATATAACATTTACACGACAAAGATGTAGTATTGGGTTCGGTTATACTCTTCATAATCATATTATTAGCATGGTAAATCATATTCATGATCTCAGCGTAATACGTGATAGTAAATTGGTATTCGACAAACACATTGAATATATTATCAACAAAGCACCCAAGGCTCTTGTTTTAATTTTAAGAACTTCAGCTTGCTTCCGCTCTCTTAAAGCTATTAAGATTTTATATTGCTCATATGTGCGTAGCCATTTAGAATATGCGTCCCAAGTACGGAACCTACAATATAAAGTTTATATATCTCGTATTGAAAGTATACAGAAAAAAATTCTGAGATACCTTGATTTCAAGGCACAAAAAATTCTGCTAATTATCTTAAAAGATGTAGGAGATATCATTTTTTGCCGTTGGAGTATAGACGTAAAGTCAATGACATTTGTTTCTTACTCGTAGTTAATAAATAGTAAACGGATCTATTGATTCTTCTAAGCTACTTGCTCACATAATGGTTCGGATCGATTTAATGAGATTTAGACAGCAACCCCTGCTATGTGCATCTCTTGTTTCAACGAATTAAAGAAGAAATTCCATCTGTCTGCGTAGCGCAATGGAATTAAGCTTTCATCTGAAGTAAGTATTGACCTATTTTCTACTAGTTCAAAATCTGTAAAAAAGTGATGAACAGAGAATTTTTCACTCACAGCCGTGAGCCGCGACTAGCATGACTCAAGTTGCATTCTCCTTGGTCTCATGGCAAGTTAAACTATGCGTTTTTTTCTTGTTAATGTTTTTGCATTTTTTTGTTATTTCTTTGTGAATAGTTTAAGTATTCCCTAGAGTATTTTAAATTGGTATTAAGTTGGATAAAGTGGAGGTTTGTAATTAGCAATTCTTATCACTATTTCGTAACTTGCAGTAAGCCTTCCTGAAATGAATAAATAAATAAACTTTATAAAATTTTACACGATCGTAAGTGCCGAAACGAAGTCTAGCAAATGATTGCTTGTATTTATGTCTATTTATTAATTATAATAAGTACAATAATTTGTGAACACAACAAGGCTTGCATCTTTTCGGATGATATGCTAAAATAAATGTTATTCAGTTATTCAATTGATTCTAACGTCTATTTTTAAAGCCTCACCGTTTCTCTCGTTCACTCGTTATCGTATGTTCTCGTTCGCACGCGCGTTCGAATCTTGCGAATTTACGAGTAGGTGCACGAAAAGAGTGTTAAACCGATTAACAATCAGCAATCAATAATTTATAATTTATTAACCAATAAATAATAATAACTTAGTTATTTTCTTTTTTTCTTTGAATGATATTATAATCATTCCAAACTAGCGCACTATAGCCCACTTTTATCCAGACAACTTAACGATCGCAGCGTCTCACTTATTATCACTTATTTATCCATATTTCTGGGACACTTTTTTCTACAGTGATTGTTCTTCTGTTCTCTATCCTCCATGGTCTATGCATATACCTTCTATATACAGATTTTGTCTGAGGCTCAGAAGGGCTAGATTCCAGAGCCGTAAAGATAGTAAATAAATAAAATGATTTTGTCTGTAGATTTACTTATCTATGGTTCATTGTTTATAACCCTAAAGTGAAAAGTGAAAAGAAAAATTTATAATTTTTCCATGCATGCATTTTTCCCAATTATTTAGTTATTAATAAATACTTAATTTCATGTGTTTTTTCATGTGCCTTGAATTATATTATTTACGGTTGCGTTCATTTAAAATTGAAGAAAGCCTTGATTTTGGTTGCTGATAATGTCTTTGGCTGATGAGTTACTGGCTGATTTAGAGGAAAATGATGATGCTGAACTTGAAGCTATTATTGAAAATAAGACTTCAAATAATACACCTCATGAATTTGCTGTGCCATATCCAGTAGTTCCCAAAGAGGCCGAAATAAAAAATGTTTCTATTAGAGAGCTGGCTAAACTAAGGGATTCAGACCGATTACAACGAGTAAGTGATATGTAAATTGATTAATATATTAAAATTCTATTTTCAGTTTCTTCACAAATGTCAATGAATTTTATTACAAAAAAATGACCTGTAAAATATATATAATGCTTAATGTCATGTTGGTTGGCTTATTTATTATTGTTAAATTTTAATTCATTTTCACTATTGAACGATATATTTGACAACTTTTTCTTCAATTCCTACCTAGATCTGTGTGTCTCCCTGTGCTTAATAAGGAATAATCTTAATGATGTAATGATCATGAAAATGATTATAGACTTATTAGCTTAGCAGTCAACAATTCCATCTTTATTGAAAAGTTGCGATTTAATTACGATTTTTTCCATATCTAGCACATGAAAATACACAAAACAATATCTCCGTTATGTGTTCTAAATTTTTTTTGCACATATTAATCCTTTTTTTTTATAATTCTACTATTATAAATATCCATAGTTTGGTTTATCTATTTTAATCTAATTGATATTATAACTAATATTTGAAATCTGTCAAATATTTCACTTCATTCCTAAAAGGCGCCACTTTGGTGGCAGAAAAAGTCATGGATAAAGCTTGAGCTGTTCTTAATATGCTGTCCCATATAGAACAATAAGTGTCGCTTGGACTTTGATAAGAAACTGTTGAACATTTACTCCTCCATATAGATAGTTTGAGTGCTGGAGGACCTAAGCACTATGTTCAATGACCTCAATAGTGTCTCCCAATGGATAGTTCTAAAATAAACATGGACAAAACAAAGATCATGGGTAACATCTATATCACACCTATGCAGGTAGTTGTGAGTACTATGCTTGAAGCTGTTAACGAGTTTGTTTACCTGGGACAAATAGTCCAAATAGGACAGCTCTATGGAGCTGCATTGTCAAATTTTTTTTTATATGATAGGGTGACAAATGAGCACACAGTCCACCTGATGGTAAGTGGTTGCTGTGGTCCATAGACATCTACATCTATCCTCGATTATGATTCAAAATGCAGATGCGTTGTCATCCATGAGGACTAATACAGAATGCCTCGTTTCCAGTAAAAAGGGTCTCATTACTTACAATCTATCCACTTTATTTATAATCTTCGACATTTACTAAAGTTATGATTACTGATCTTTATATGAATCTACTAGGCAGTAAATATACTGGATCGAAAATCACGTTTCAAAGACATAAACCTTTAAATTTTAAGTGTCATTTTT